GTGTGTGTGTGTGTGTGTGTGTGTGTGTGTGTGTGTGTGTGTGTGTGTGTGTGTGTGTGTGTGTGTCCTTGTTTTGAGGATATAAATCCATTCATGCAACCACTATGAGGATTGGACTTCTGTGCTCATAATGTAAATAATTAATAGCTCTCTTAATGAGAAAATCTGAGTATTCGGGATGTAAGTGTGCATCAGTGAAACATCCTCTGAATTATAAATAATTATAAATACAATACTCCAGGATGAGCAGCCTCAGTGAACCCAAATGGATTTTTTTGTGTTTTGTCTGTGAAAAATACACAGACAGGTGAAATTGCAGGATTAAAAATGGATGCATCTCGCCAATCTTCAGATTTTAGTTTACTTGGGCCCTTGGTGGACAACACAGCCTCAGTTGCCTCAGTTAAAGTCAGAGTTCATGATTCGGGTGCCAAAAGAATAATGTAAAAAAAAAAAAAATTCCTTTATAAACAGTAAGAAAGAGACTGGGCAAAAGTGTCCTCCATGGGAGAGTTCAGTGCTGTTGTTTCTGTCTTGGATGCAGTTTGCTCTCGTGCTCCTGTCCTTTCATGCAATGAAAGTAAAGGTGAGCCGTCTCAGTAGGACATTACATTGCCGTGTTACCAAAAAAATGTAATGTGATTACACTAATATTTTACTCTGGAACACGTCACATCTAACACTGGTGCTAGGTGAAGAGTGAAGTACTTTATAAACTCCAGTCTATTTACCTTGGCCTAAAGTAGGAGAGGGTAGAACAGCAGACTAACCTTAAACTTCATCGTGTAGTTTTGGTTAGTTGCACGAGTTACCCGGCATAACAAACATATTTTTAGATAATAAATGTGACTTACATGTAGTCAAAATCAAAACCTGAAAGAAAACTGCCGTTTCTTAAGATTAAAAAAAAATGAAAATTGTGAAATTTAGAAAGGTCGAACAGTTACTGGGAGTAACAAATGTACAAACGCTGGCGCTCGTATCCACTTTTAGAAAGACTGTTTCAGTTATCTGCTGCACTAAATATGCACATAGGTGATGCCTACAGTCTCATAGTTTGTGATGTTTTCAAACCTAGATTTTTCTGGGTATGTGATGTGCATGTTTTTTTGTTTTGTTTTGTTTTTTTAAACATATGCCAAATTATTATATAACACCCTCCACACTGCACCGGACGTACTGATGACTTTCAGTCAGTTTCTAAAGGACACTTGATGTTTCTGAGTTTGTTTTATAATTATTTATCGCTTACCCCTCTCAGTCTTGTTTCCTGCTCTCTGCTGTCAACCGTTCAACAAAAGGCAACAAGGATAATCCGACCTTCAAACAAAGAAAGCAGAGAGGAAGGTTTTAAAATGTGTCTGCTTCCTCAGTCCCCGTGCTTCTCCATTGCTTTTTAAATGCGGCTCAAGTAGGGCTGATGTTATTCTCTCGCTCTCTGAAGCCTGATGTGAATTCACTGTTCACTGTTCAGTGAATTCACACTGAACATAGGGCCTGCTCAGGCCCTACTCGTCTGCATTTAATGAAAAACTTCTGTAACCTTTTGTTGCGCAGCGAGCGGGTCGATCCATTAGCCGTGTTAGGAGGACAAAAAGAAACACATAAAAGTCCCCAAACAGAGAGATCAATCCCTGCTTTAAACAAGCTGTTTTAAAAAAAAAACAACAACAACCAAACAAAAAAACAAAGCTGTTTGTTAATCAGTGAGTTAGAGGCTCGATTCGTTCCCCACGCTGACATCATCAGTCTGAACTCGAAGCCTCCTCATGAATAAAGAAACCATGGCTATTAATAAACAGCCTGGCTGAGAAATGCTTGCTGCATGCACTTATGCTACAGCTCAGCTTCTTTTCTTTCTACATTTAAAAGAAAAAAAAAAGATTCTGGGTCATTACCTGCTGCTTTTCCTGCAAGAATAATGTGACCAAACTGATGTTTTTCAGTGTTTTAGCAACGGCAGACTGACCGTTTCACAGCAGGCTTATGCAAAAGCCATCAGGTGAAATTCTATAAAGCGCGAGACATCGTTTTGGTCTTGGTGGAGGATGAATGCTTCTGGGTGCGCATACAGTCAGGTCTCAAGTATTTGGACGATGACACGTGTTTATAATTTTACTTCTGATCAGCACCACAGAGGATTTTAAACCAGACGATCAAGAACGATCGCTGGGACAGTTTCACTGCACCGAGAGCTCCTTAAATGAAAATAACTAAAAGGTAGCCATGATCTGCAAATATCTGAGCTACGTTTTATAAATTATAATAGTTTGAGAGAATTATATTAATAACTACAAGTTTCTTCCCAGCACTTGGTACTGAGACTGAAACGCAAAAACTGGTTGTTTGTTGGTGACGCACCTCCAAACTGTTTGCTGTAGAAGATAGATGGTACCTGAGGCCTGTACTACAAAGCAGGACTTTGGCTTATCCAGGTAAGTACAAGGTTAACCCTGGGCTTTCTGTACTACAAAGGTGCATCACTTCTCACTGCTGTACAAAGCCATGGTAATCTAACCTGCTCCTGAGCAGATCATGCTTGAGATTAGAGATCAGCAGGTATAAAATCACCACCTACTGACCAATCAGCTCTCTGGAAAATAATGGCACCATTCCTGAAAGGTCCCTCAGACTCCTGTGTTTGGATACTAGGAGGGTTTAAAGTTTTCGTCTTTCCTGGTCTCTCTGTTGCACCATCCTTTTTCCCTGCTGCTACTCCTTTGCTCATCTTTCTAACTGTTAGCTTAATTTCCTTCATGCTATTAACTTAAGAAGGGAAGGTCTGTGTACTGTAGCCAATTGAGCTGCTAGCCTAGTCTCTTTCACATTTCTGGTGCTTTGTCTATTTTGTTTAAGTTTGTTTAGAATGAAGGTTAGCAACTTCAAACTCAGGTGTGGCATCCTCTTTATATGTTGCAGTTATCACGATTATCTATGGCCTGTTGAGGTAACTTCCTTGACCTCACCAATCCTTTAATATCCCAGCTGGAGAAGAAGAGTCAGATGAAGAGTCAAAGCTTTATTACCAATGCGCATTGGGAGATCTCATTACATGCAGCTACAGCAAGCATCAGGTGGATCTATGTCAGCCTATGTTTGAAGGACATTGCATCTGAGAATAAAGAATCAAAACTAAAACTGTCTTTTAAACATTAATTTAATTACATACTGAATTATAGTCCATCAGACTCTCTCTACTCTTAATGATGGAACTGTGATATTGATCGTCTGTCAACTCACGCAGATGGCAATTATTCCGGATTTCTTTCCTGACTACAAATCGGGTAAACTTTATTAATATAGCAACTCTTTCAGTCCTACTGAAAAAGCTCACACTTTTAATAATACATTACTCTACAGTCCTTTTCCTCTCACACACAGGGCAGTGTTGCTTTCAGTCTATATAGCATGTTCAACATTTTTATATATTTTTCTCTGCAAAGGCAGAGTTCAAAAGCAACCACTAAAAGTTGAATACATGAATACAAATCAGAGGAAAAACAGAGTCCAATATATCAAGAAACAAAATCCAGGCAGCACAGGAAAAATGGCTATGATGTAACAAGGAGCAACGAGAGACCGAGGAAATGCATACACAGCGAGACACGGAAGGCAGTCAGGGGGAAGTGGAAACACCTGGGGAACCAGACACAGCTGAAGAAATCAAAGACACAGGAAGTAAAGCTCAAAGCAAAGACTCAAAAAATAAGACAGAGAGGTCGTGTCCAAATTCATGGGCTGCATCCTCCTGAGGCCGCATTTGTAGACCGATTACGTCACAGCGACGCGCCGAAGGCTGTCCAAATTCGTAGACTCCTCCGAATGCAGCCGACAAATGCGTCCTCCTTTTCCCCGAATTTGAACGATTGGTCGGGTGTGTCCTTCGTGGCCTACCTTATCCCAGAATTCATAGCGCGGCCCAGCCAAACTCCAGTTTCCAACAATGGCGGCCGCTACTAAGTTTTAAAATTACTCAAACTGATCTTTCTGGGTCACAAAATAAACTTTTAACATATTTTCAGGCGAGAAACTAGCTGTGTAAACATCAAATATCTGCTCGGTTTATCAAGATATCGCATATTT